CCAGTCCGTCGATAGTTCTTTTCTTATTTGTTCGTAATCGCCTTTATAGTAATTAGACATAGTTGTTTTGCTAAATCTGTGTTTTTGAACAGTTCAATTAAAAAATATAAAGTGCCGTTATCACTCTTTCCTAGTCCGCTTTTTATTTCAATATTACCGATCATACCTTGTTCATTTGTGAATATCAGATCTAAAATACTTGGCTCGTCATTTGCTCTTATTCTTATTCTTATTCTTGTGATTCTCTATGTGTTGCAATAGAAATGCATCTTTGGCCGATTCCAAGAATTTCTATTCCAGATGTTTAGCTCATCTAGACGTCAGCAGTCCTTATAGTCACTGACCTCAAATCATCAGTCGCTATAACCCCTGGCCTCTAATCAAACCTCAGTCGCTATAACCTCTAACCTCCAATCATGAGTCGCTATAATCCTTGACCTCCAATCCTCAGTCGCTATAACTTCTGACCTCCAACTATCAGTCGTTATAACCCTTGACCTCCAATCATTAGTCGCTGTAACCGCTGACCTCTAATAAGCCGTCGCTGTTGCCCTTGACTTCAAATCTTCAGTCTCTATAACGCTTGACCTCTTATCATTAGTCTCTATTACATGTATTCCTGACATCTAACCATCAGGCGATACAACCGCTGACCTCCAAGCACCAGTCACTATGACCCCTGAACTACTTCCTATCATCAGTCGCTATAACCGCTGACCTCCAATTACCAGTCACTATGTACGCTAAACTACTTCCTAGCATCAGTCGCTATGACCGCTGACCTCCAAGCACCAGTCAATATGACCCCTGAACTACTTCCTATCATCAGTCGCTATGACCGCTGACCTCCAAGCACCAGTCACTGTGACCCCTGAACTACTTCCTATCATAAGTCGCCATAACCCCTGATTTTCTATCAAACTAAGAAGCTAGGCTACCTCTTATACCTTAGCCATGTCTTGCTACAATTATAACCTAAAACGAGATTGATAAAATATTTTACTTATTACTAAGTTATCGCAGTCGAGGGCTAAGACTCTGTAACATAATCCAAACCGAGACGCAAACCGAGGTTGGGATGTTACATAATCTTAGCCTGAGACTGCGATAACCCGATCTTGCTCAGTTACAGGTATTTTTTTACGCCCACCTTTAAGTTAGAAAAAATCTATTTAATTTTGCAAAAGACAATAAATATCCGTCCAAAATTACCTATACACTACTAAAGTGACATTTGAATGCTTCCGCGTAAATGTAGTCCGTACTCACAAGGAAGACAACGTATTTCACAGTGTTGAATATATTTTATCTTCAACATCAAAAATCTAACAACATCAAAATAATACATATAACGACAAAACAGATTATTTATAACACAGAATGACAAGTTCAAGCCGTTAACGCGCAGATAAATACGTCATCAGACAGATCGGACGAGATAGAACAATCTAGCATGGGGAATGACGAGGGATAACTCTGTCTGAGGTACGAGAAAATAGAGGGGTTACTTCATATACAATAAACAATCATGGAATTTCTTATTTCATGCAGTGGGTCGGAGATCCTTAAAATAAAATATGTGTGTTAAGTGTGTGCATAATCGGGATAGATTGTTTGTAAAGGCAAAGAATTGTAATTATTAAATATTCTTGTTACGCCAATCCATGTTTCGTCTGATTGTGAGAGAATTGTAAGCGAACATTGTGAGAGAATTGTAAGCGAACAAGAAATGTATTGTTCGAAATAATATCCTCAAGCCAAATATGTAATTTAATGGAACTACATAACAATTAACATCCGAACAATATAATACTTGTTTCGTTCGGTCGTGCGTCCACCTGGATCCAATATCATCAAACTCGTGGCAATTTTCAATTGAAACCTGCCAGGGGCTAGCGGAAATTGAACATTGTTAATTCGTCCAAAATTCCTATTTGAACTTGAAATCCATTATGATCGACTCTTTGAACTGAGTGCAGTTAATGTTTATTTTGTATACTTTGGTAATAAAGTATTGTTTACATTTAAATACAGTCAATGACATTATAAAGATACCGATCCAATAGATAAGCAAATCATGTGTTTATTAATTCAATCATTGACGTATTTGGTATCTTGTCAATCCACTCTCACCAAGATGTATTATTAAAAAGGTATATTTTAAATGACAAAAGATCTACATTTGTAAATTCACAACGAACACCTGTTTATTTTTAAACATTTACTTTAAATACCTGCACAATATAGATTGCAATGAATGCATGAGTAATTTCTGAAATGCCGTCACTATCATGCTTAAAGCGTTGGCAAAAACGTACCATTATATTCAGGTTTATCATAAAACTGACCCATTTCACTACCTCATAAATATGGTATTACACCGTTTGTACTAAAACCTAAAGGTGATGCGATTGGTAAAAACCGTGGGAATATATCCCTACGCCACTACAGGTATTATTTTTATTAACTGTACCATATCACACATTTTAAAATGAAGTTGAAATGTCTATTTCGCTATGTTTTATTTCGTTGCATTTAAAACTTCATTTTCGTTAATAACAGAAAAAAATATATGGAACTTCTTTGCACTGCGCGGAACAACACTACTGATCGGAATACTTTGGTTTTAACTATAAAAAGTCAGCTGAGAACAAAATAATTGTGTTTGTGGGTTTTTTCTTTAAATTATGAATGTTATGTGATAAATTGAATCTTACATTCGTGTCAATGCCGTATCTAGTTGATTAAACTCGTTCAATAATTTGCCACGACACTCGCTTACAGGCTCGGGCCATATCCAAATATTGATCTCGTTTAATAAATTCAATTCGACATGGACACTCATGTAAAATCATCTTTTTACGGAAAACACTGTGTCATTCGTCCAGTGAAGATAACATCTATGTTAACTCATATTACCACTTCCTCGGCCACTTTGGTAAACACCCGTATCAACACGAATCTGTTACAATCTCATTTCACGAATCCCTTTAGGGCTTTACGTTAAGTACCGACATAGATTATAAAGTTCAATTGTGTTTATTAAGGAGTGTGACGTCATCTAAATGCTCCGTACGATAATGTAACCTTCTTTAAGGCGGGCTAAGAAGATTCAAAATATCACTGACCTGTTGATGTAGTAACACTGTTATGCGAATATAAATTCAAACGAGTGGTAGTTTATTTACTTTATTAAATGTAATGTTATTGAAGACAAAGATGATATATAGCTTAAACTTTATTTTATCGCTATATATTGGTTTGATACAAATAATATACAAAATAACAGGATTCAAAAAAAGTACAAGGTAATTAATTAATTCCGTCTTATTAGATTCATTCAGCAGTGATATGACGGCATTGACTGTTTGTGTATCATTTTTTAAAGGAAATAATGGGGAGGGGAGTAGGATAGTCAGAAATAAAGAAAAACATGTCGTTTGTGAACGAAAGACTCATTTGATTATATTATGGTTACGCCATGGGGCTGTGCAAGTTAAATTCATCAAATATATTTTAGTATAAGCCATATTTTATTTCGTAAATTTGCAATTACAATATATAGACCATTTAATTGTTACATACATGAAATAGGACCCAGAAACAAGTTCTTATACTTATGTCAATCTGTTTCCTTAGCAGAAATAATAATGGATAACAGAGACTTAAAGTAGAAGAAAGAGGAGAAGAAATAGGAAGAGAAGAAAGAATAGCATTTGCCAATGTACAAAACGTTAACCTATGTAGATGTCGCTGTTGTCATAACGGATTTATAACAGTGGAAAATATATGCTATGTACTACTACAAAGATGCTACGAAAATACCAATAGCATATGGCACAACTGATATGGGAAAAACCCACGCGCGCACACAACCACACACACACACACCCTCAAACACGCTCACACAATACCGTGGTTTATATGAGTGAATAATTGGGTGTATAAACTAAATAGGTAAAAAAAAAGGTTTTGATTTAATAACTAAATTTTGTAGACAGTTACATATATTTCGATTTTGGGCAATGTGAAAGATTGTTGTTACAAAACAGGAGGGTTTCTATTGAGGTATGATTTTGTATTGGCCTGAAACATATTTGTCTAATGTGTTCATAGTTCCGACAAGATAATAGATAATGATCGTTTGTTTCGTTAGCCTCACGGCAGGAACAGAGTGGACTCCCTACTATAATTTTTATGAAAGAGATGGCCGTTTAGTGAACTACATTTCATTATTAACCTAGCATGTTATATTTGGCCTATTCTAGTACCGCAGAAGTAATATGATTATTTTTGTAGTAAGTTTTTGTTAAGTTGTAGCTTTAGTTTTTTTATTAATGCGTCATTCCGTATGTCTTCAGGGAGTTCATTCCATAGATTGACAGACGCAGATAGGAAAGATGTTTGATATAAGTTTGTTCTACAACGTACAGGTCTTAATCTATTTGCGTCTCTAGTGTTATGTTGGTGGATGTGCGAATGTCGTTCTGGGAGAATGTTTCTAAGATATTGTGGGTAATGTTGTGTACTATTTTGTGAAATTGTATAATTGTGTGGTGTTTCTGCCTAAAAGAAAGTATTTGCCATCCAGTTTCATTGAAACGGTTTGCATGACTAGTAAGCTTGATGACTCCTGTAATGATGCGTGCAGCTTCAAGTTGTATATTTTCTATCTTTTGTCATTGTAGGTTGATCAAATTGTCCCGAAAAATATCTTTAAACTCTAATATCGGTCTTATAAAGGTAAACTACATACGTTGTAGTGTTTGGCAATCGACAGTATACTTTAGTTTTCTGAGTAGATTCAATTTAGCAGATGCCTTTTTAACAATGTATTCAATATGGCATTGCCACCCACCATCACATGAGAAAAACACACCCAAGTGAGTATGTGCATTCACGTCGTGTAATAGATTATCATTCATTGTCAAAGGAGGATGGACTGGTTTGTTTGCTCTTTTAATAACAATCAAATTTTCTGTTTTTAAAGGGTTGAAATTAACGAGCATTTTTTTGTACTAATTAAAAAGATTTCCCCAAGTCCCTATTTAAGACATCAGCACTATCTGTGGGTACATCAACTGTAGCATATAAAGATGTATTGTCGGCAAATAACTTAATAGTTGATTGAATATTGTCGGCTGTATCATTAATAAAAACTGGAAATAGTAGTGGTCCTAGCATAGAGCCTTGTGGGAGTTGTTGCCAAGACGAATACTTAGTATTGATGACAACACACTCCTTACCATCCGAAAGATAGTTTGAAAACCATGACAACAATTTACCAGTAATTCAAAAACTGCGTAGTTTGGTTAACGTCGCAAAAGACCAATCTTATTTCTTTTCCGTCGTCTATTTCATTATCTTTGTCTTTGGATGAACCCGGACCGACTAGAAGATAACAGTCGATGACAAAGGAAGAAATTATAGATATGTTTGTATACGCATCTTTCCATTACCTTACCAAGTCTAGATAAAAGAGATATAGGTCGATAGTTTCTACTCCTTGGCTTATCATCTTTTTTGTATATAGGAGAAACATTTTTATTTTTTTCCATTCATTTGGAATTATTGATTTCGATGATGAGAGATTGAATATAGTTTGGAGCGAAAAGCACAAAATATCAACAGCTTCCTTTAATAAGCGAGGATCAACCAAACCAGGACCAATAGCCTTTGAACAATTTAGACAGCGAATGTTATCCACAATTTCTTCCAGTGTGATTAAAATACCAAATTTATCTCACTTTTAATTTTCATAAAAGAAAACAGAAAACAATTTGTCACTTTGTATAATGAGGCCGACATGTCGACAGAAGGATTTAATCGGGACAAATGATGCATAGAGTTTGTAATCAGTGTTTTGATTGGTCAAATAAGCAAAAGTGTTATAATTTACTAGTGAAAAATATCACTTTCATATAGAATGAATGTTTTGCAATATTTCACAATAATATATTAAAAATGTAATAAAATGCATAAAGGTCTTGCACCAGGCAGATATATGTATAAGATAAACAATGTTGTCTACTATCACCACGCTTTGTCGCCTGTTTATGTATAAGAAATGAGGTCCTTTTTAATATCAGGAATATATCCTCCCGTATACTGGAAGTAACGAGGAAAGTCTGTATACGTATCGTTACAACCTCTTACAGCCAATCGTTTACTCCTAATGCTTGATACACTATCAATAACGGAAACACATCAAGGAATGACGTCATTGAGTCGTTACGAAATGGAACATTCATTCCAACACATCTAGCTCTTTAATTACAGAAAGAAACGTCACTTATTTGGTAGGATTCGGTACACCTCGAAAGCAATGGTTTCTTTACAGGAAGTGACGACAAACTCGCGCTTGCTCGGATGAGCAATCACTGCCCACGGGTGTCTGATTTTGTCTAGTTTCTTCACCAACACTCGCCCTCTTGTTGCATCGGGCGCCATCTCGTGGATGTTTCCTGACTGATATCCACATACAAACACGTGACCATGTTCGTCAAGACAAATACCGACCGGATCGCGGAGGTGTGGGTGTGTATACCGGGTTACCTCACGTCCATCAAGTGTTCGACCAACGACNTGTGTGTACCGGGTGACCTCACGTCCATCAAGTGTTCGACCAACGACAGAGTTGTTGTCCCTGTGGAAGTACATGTGGCGCTGACTACACGCCGCAATACATGTAGTTCCGGTGGTCGTTATCAGAACACTGTTTACTTCCTGTCCATCCGCTTCCAACACTTTGATAGTGTCTGAAGTCACAACTAGCAACTTTTCATCCAATAAAGCTACACCGCACGTCAAAGTAGGACACTCTGTTTTCCCAATTACATCAAGATGCCCGGATGCAAGGGAGCATCGGAGGATCTCCTTGTTATAGACAGAAACGTACAATTCGTTACCCTTGTTACCTCTGGCGACATCTGTGGGGCATCCGTTGATAGCATATTGCTTTATGTAATTATAGTTCTCGTCAAACATTAGGAGTCTTTTGTTGTTACAGTCGGCCATTATTAATTTATTTTCATCTACAAATGTACCGCCAGTCAGCAGGATTACCTGCCTGCCGACCAGATCTTTGGACAGTACAGATTTCAGCAGATGCGGTTTCACTGTTTTCATTTCTGGTTTTGGTTCGACATTCCTTGTTAACGAACCTATCATGTCAGACGAAGACATGGAATCGGAGAATGACGATAGAGTTTGCGTTTTATGCATAGATTCAAGCGTTGTCCCAACCGCTGCAAGCGCATGTTTGGTTGTGTCTGACAACGTTGATGTCACTTGGACAGAGCCTACAGCTGTCAGAGTATTCATGATTTCATCGACAGCGTCATCCATTTGGATTTCTAGCCTGTACAAGTTGTCGCTCTGTAGTATTCTATGCTTTAGACGCTGATAATGTCTCGTGAGTTGCACGTTCGCCTGTTCTCGTGCTATGAAAGCCTGTCGGGGTGGCACGTGCCCACTTAATGTGGCCATAAGAAGTCGCGTATTCCTCACATTGGTGTAAAACTGTTCTGTGTTCTGTTTATGGCTTAATAGATGCTCTTGATTCTTATTGTGTGCTAGTATCACGTCGTCGAGAAGTTTCGATTGAAGTTCATCTATTTTCTTTCTGATTGAGTCTAGCTTAGATTTTATTGATGCAGTGACGCTCTCTTTATCTAATTCTATTGTTGCAAGTGATGCGTCATTTGTGTGTACCAACATTTTGGATTCAGTATCAAGCTTGACCCAGATGTCGTCACACGTCGCAATAGGCTTCCTTGATACATCCTCTATACTCCGCATGTGCCTACACTCCCGGTGTGATACTGCCAGACATAGGATACAGCACAGAGAGTGATGATCAAGACAGTAGACCTCTAATGTTTTATTTGTATGCTGAGTACAGCCTTCGTGAACAGGGAGAGCCAATGGTTGCGGTCCACCAGTCTTGCTGATGTCACTGACTTCGACAACTTTATGGTCACTCGTTTTTTTGTTGCGTCTGTGTGCAATTCTACATGGTGAACAAAGGGCTTCAACACAATGACGGCACCAGTACGTCGCCCTAGTATCCTCACCGTCTCTCCGACACCCCTCACACGCTATACCGTTATCCCCACCGCTCACTCCTGGGGACGGCGGGTGTGGCACGCCAAGGGGAAGGAAAGATGACCACGTGTTCACTGGAGACCTAGGACTATTATGGGGTGTGGGGGTTTCGCAAACTGGACAAGGAAACGTCGTATCTGTTGCAGTGGACTCTGATTTTGTGAAGGAGTCCAGACATCGCCGACAAAACGAATGCAGACATGGCAGTTCTCTTGGACTTTCACAGGGTTTGAAACAAAGGAGACACAGGAAATATCTATCGTCTGACTTCTCTACGGTCTCGTCCATACTCTGTCGAGTTCAGGTTAATTGTAGAATCTGGAGAAAATGAAAAATATATTAATGTATATATATTATATATGAAAATGTAAGAAGTATGACAAATATAGATTATCATACGGTGTTTTCAGGGTTTGTCGCTCGAAGAATTTTCTCATTGTTTGCAGATAACATCTTGAGTTCACCTACAGTGACCTCTCGAATTTGTACACGTGCTCCCGATGAGAACATTGTTCTCACGACAAACCCTGAAAACACAGTGTGGTCAACTGTTTCTCACATATATACCACTATCTTATATGATTCAAAGATCAATTTCGAAAATTCACCTACATGGGGGAATCAGTAAAATCTAAGAATATGTTCCGAAACCTCACGTGTATCGGCGAATGGGTATGATTCGGGGACCTCTTAAACCTGTTTACGTGTATCGGCGAATGGGTATGATTCGGGGACCTCTTAAAAATGTTTACGTGTATCGGCGAATGGGTATGATTCGGGGACCTCTTAAAAATGTTTACGTGTATCAGCGAATGGGTATGATTCGGGGACCTCTTAAACATGTTTACGTGTATCGGCGAATACGTATGATTCGGGGAACTTTATAGAAAGTTCACGTATATCGGCGAATGAGTAGGATCCGATGATCTTTTCCGAAAATTCACGTGTATGGATTAGATGCGAATGGGTATGATCCGAGACCTTTTTCAATAATCCACCAGTACGTCCAGTGTATCAGTGAGTACTACACGTGTATCGGCGTAATAATATGATCAGATAATCAGTACTACGTGTTTGTCAGCACCTTCTCTGTAACTTCCTGATTAAGCTTGAAAACAGTTTATACATATTGAATCAGCTATTCACTGGGTAACACGATGCATCGTTAGCGTAACACATATCAACGTGAATGTAACCTAGGTCACGTGGAACATCATCAGCATTTAAAGAGAAAACACCTTACCGATACATTACACTATGCATGTTAATTCGAGAATACACGACTCTATATTATTGTTAGCAAAAAAGGAAAGATTTGAAGATGGAGGAAAGGTGAGACAAGGGGATGGGGCAGGGACAGAAGGGTTGCAGGGGACCGGGGTGCAGGGTGGCTGGGAGACACGGGACCAGGGGGCATGGAGCAGAGGGCATGGGCGGGTGAGGAAGGGGGCATGGAGAGGGTTAGTATAATGTCGAAATGAAGTTTGTGTCGTACTTTTATTGGGGAAGGTGGAGGAAAAGGGCTAAGTCAATATATGTATAACTGAAAAAAGATATGATTATTATAGCTAGTACAATATATCTGTAATAGGACGATTCAGGCCGAGGACAAGTCAAACATATTTTCTTCATAATGTACATCAGCTCGTCGATTCGACAGATTAAGGCTGTATGGTGTATTATTGTACTACGTCTCCTTCCTGAAGAGTTCCAAACTGTCAACATTACTACTTATTAAGGACGTATGCTACATTACTGTAACACGTTGCATGCGTGTCCTAGAAGAAGAGTTCAAAACTAAAAAAAATCTTCATATTTTTTTAATTGCTATAATAATATAATAATGACACGTTTGCTATCTACACAAGAGTGCTTGCTATTCCTACGCTCTGGGTCCGGTCGTTAGGACATTACTGGTATTAAGAGCCGTTAATACATGTACGTACATATCGTAAAAATACAAACACAATTTTGAGAAATACCTTAAAATTTGCTTGTTTCCCTGTCTGTAGTTAACCAGGTTTGATTTCCAAAAATTGGATTTTAGTAATGAATTTCAATATTTATTAACATAAATACAGATTAATACATGCCTTTTTCCATATCACAACCAGTATCAACCCGAGATTGCAATATCAGCCCAAGGGCCGAACGCCCGAGGGCTGATATTGGTCGAAGGTTGATACTGGGTGTGATATGGAAAAAGGCATGTTTTATTCTGTTTATTACATACTTACTAATAAAAGCTACTATCTTATGACCTATTTTTCTTTTGAAATATTGAAAAACGAACATTTCCGAAAAGGGGGTTTTGCGGGCTGATACGGGTTTTGGGGTGTGATACGGTGGGGGCTGATACGGGTTTTGGCGTGTGATCCGGCGGGGGCTGATACGGGGTTTGGGGTGTGATACGGCGAGGGCTGATATGGGTTAGAGCAATTGTGTCGTATCGCATATACAAAAAACCCGTATTTATTAGTAAGTATATATTATACTTACTAATAAAAACGGGTTTTTTGTATATGCGATACGACACAATTGCTCTAACCCATATCAGCCCTCGCCGTATCACACCCCAAACCCCGTATCAGCCCCCGCTGTATCACACCCCAAAACCCCGTATTACACCCCTTTTTGAAAAAAAATCGTTTTTCAATACATGTATTTCAAAAGAAAAATAGATCATAAGATAGTAGCTTTTATAAGTAAGCATGTGATAAACAGAATAAAACACGCCTTTTTCCATATCACACCCAGTATCAACCCGAGACTGCAATATCAGCCCGAGGGCCGAGGGTGCGAGGGCTGATATTGCAGTCTCGGGTTAATACTTGGTGTGATATGGAAAAGGGCATGTATTATTCTCTATGCATTGATCGTATATCGTGATATGTAAATATTCTATATTGCAACATGTATATATATCTTATAACAAATAGTTCGATCATATTATTTCAGAAACTTTGTATTTATTTTGAAAAGGTGCATAGTAAATCGTAATAATGATGTATGTGACCTGTCTTGGTGATCTGTCACTCTACAGTGAACTGACTAATCAGACAGAAGCTTTCAAAATGTCGGTCATTTGGCCCCGCCCATAATCACGCTTGCTCGATCGATTAGTTTATCAATGTCCTGTTATCAAGCACTACGTCTATTTTGGATTTAGATTGGCCAGATTCTTACAAATTCCTGTCAGTATACGTGAGAAGACCAGCGTATTGACATCTAAACAGGGTCCGTATCCAAGCACAACACTCGTTACAAACAAATCGTGTTAGAGTATACGGTATCGTGAATTCGAAAATTGGTTTAATTTTATACGCAAACTATAAATATATATTCACACGACTTTATGGTGACGGGTGCTTAAAAATGTCCGCACCTTAAGTGTCGCTGTTCCCTTTATGAATAATTGCATAAAGCGATCGAAATTATTACACAAGAGAACACGAGACGTTCGTAACAGTTATTTGTAGAGGTAGTATACATTTTATAACTACAGTCGATCGAGAGATTTAAGAACAAAACGATAATTGCTGTTGATTACATCGAGTTGAGGAGGTGTCAGGTGTCATATTTGGCTTTAATGAATCAATGTGTCACATGCACGATATAATTTGTTGGTGTGTTTTCATTTACAGAATCAACTATGCGTACGCTCCATTACAGTGATTTGTGTTAGACTTGCGCACTTTCATTTCCGCATTGTAAACTACGAGATCAGAGACAGCGGGATAGTTCGGTTTGAAATGTAACACTTCAGAAGTAAAACTTGACGGACTTACAAATACAAATGCAGACCTGGAAAGACTTTGCCAAGATCTATACTAGCCAAAAACAACATTTAATCACTAGGCCCGTCCATATTTAATAACGAATTCACAAAATGGTCCAACCGTTGTGATCACGTTTAAAAACGAAAGTACGTTTTTCTGAAATAAATTACTCTATTTTTGTAAGCGTGTTTATTGTAAAATTACATAGCTGTATTTGTTATATTGATTACGTATATCATTTATCGATTGATTAAAACCATTAACTATTAATAAAACCAACAACTGCTAGTGCTATGTCCCAACAGCAAATTTCATACCAAATCTATGAACCTGCATAACTCGAATACTCGGATAACTCGAAGTATTCCCACGACCCCGTCGACTTCAAGATAACGAGGTTCGACTGTATATAAATAGGTAATGAACAGGGTGAATGGTCGCTCCGCCTCTCGATAGCAGGCGAGGCCACCCGAAGGTACCCTATATAATCGTCCATCAGTTTAGGAAGTAAAGACAACCAGGAAGTTCCGAATAGACCACCATATGCTACGCAATACAAGTTACATACATGTATGAGAAGTATATAGACGTACGTACCTTGAAACATAGGACTTAGATAATGTATTATATTATATAGTCTGTGCGTTAGCCGTGAGTACTTACCGACATGTCACACACACGAGTCTTAATGCCGACATCAACCGTACGATTTATCGCCATCCATACCTACATCCGGGTTCCAGTGATCACCTGACCCGAAACTTTAAAGGGGGAGATGCACTTGTCGTGTTGTTTACCGTGACAGATACAGGACATACGATACACATATACAGGTAAATACATGCACACCTGGTGACAGTTTGTGATGCAAACTGTTGTCCAGTTCGTATGGGATTACTGAAATTAGATAACATCAACCTGTTGTCAGAATAATTTGAAAGGATGAGATGTCATTACTTAAGCTATAATCAACATACTTGTGTGTAGTTTAATTGAGAATTTAACGCAGGCACAAAAATGTGAGGAAAATAATTAAAAATTTGAGTACTCCCAAAGTTAATTGCATTGTAGAATAACTTTTACAGATGCATTCTTGTACATTTTTATTTGTTTCTTTCATTTCTATACATTGTATATAAGAGGGGGAGGTGTATGGGAGTGGGAAGTGTATATAAGAGGGGGGAGGTAGGTGTAGGGGAGTGGGAAGTGAATATGAGAGGGTGTAGGTGTAGTGGAGTTGGAAGTGTATACAAGAGGAGGGAGGTGTAGGGGAGTGGGAAGTATATATGAGAGGGGGTAGTTGTAGGGGAGTGGGAAGTGAATATGAGAGGGGGTGGTGTAGGGGTGTGGGAAGTGTATAGGGGAGGGGGAGGTGTAGGGGAGTGGGAAGTGTATATGAAAGGGGGGAGGTGTAGGGGAGTGGGAAGTGTATATGAAAGGGGGAGTTGTAAGGGAGTGGGCAGTGAATATGAGAGGGGGAGGTGTAGGGGAGTGGGAAGTGTATATGAAAGGGGGAGTTGTAAGGGAGTGGGCAGTGTATATGAGAGGGGGAGGTGTAGGGGAGTGGGATGTGTATATGAGAGGGGGAAGTGTAGGGGAGTGGGATGTGTATATGAGAGGGGGAAGTGTAGGGGAGTGGGATGTGTATATGAGAGGGGGAGTTGTAAGGGAGTGGGCAGTGTATATGAGAGGGGGAGGTGTAGGGGAGTGGGAAGTGTATATGAAAGGGGGGAGGTGTAGGGGAGTGGGAAGTGTATATGAAAGGGGGGAGGTGTAAGGGAGGGTGAGGGTATATGAGAGGGGAAGGTGTAGGGGAGTGGGAAGTGTATATGAGAGGGGAAGGTGTAGGGGAGTGGGAAGTGTATATGAAAGGGGGGAGGTGTAAGGGAGGGTGAGGGTATATGAGAGGGGAAGGTGTAGGGGAGTGGGAAGTGTATATGAGAGGGGGGGATAGGGGAGTGGGAAGTGTATATGAAAGGGGGGAGGTGTAGGGGAGTGGGAAGTGTATATGAAAGGGGGAAGTGTATATGAGAGGGGGAGGTGTAGGGGTGTGGGAAGTGTATATGAGAGGGCGTAGGTGTAGGGGAGTGGGAAGTGAATATGAGAGGGTGTAGGTGTAGTGGAGTTGGAAGTGTATACAAGAGCAGGGAGGTGTAGGGGAGTGGGAAGTATATATGAGAGGGGGTAGTTGTAGGGGAGTGGGAAGTGAATATGAGAGGGTGTAGGGGTAGTGTAGTTGGAAGTGTATACAAGAGGAGGGAGGTGTAGGGGAGTGGGAAGTATATATGAGAGGGGGACGTTGTAGGGGAGTGGGAAATGAATATGAGAGGGGGTGGTGTAGGGGGGTAGGAAGTGTATATGAGAGGGGGTAGGTGTAGTGGAGAGGGAAGTGTATATGAGAGGGGGAGGTGTAGGGGAGTGGGAAGTGTATATGAAAGGGGGGAGGTGTAAGGGAGGGTGAGGGTATATGAGAGGGGAAGGTGTAGGGGAGTGGGAAGTGTATATGAAAGGGGGAGTGGTAAGGGAGTGGGCAGTGTATATGAGAGGGGGAGGTGTAGGGGAGTGGGAAGTGTATATGAAAGGGGGGAGGTGTAAGGGAGTGTCAGGGTATATGAGAGGGGGATGTGTAGGGGAGTGGGAAGTGTATATGTGAGGGGGGAGATGTAGTTGATGGGGAAGAAATAAGTTTGCACAGTGATTGCCAGAGACAACAGGTTAAACAAATACTATTTCACTTTTAAATAATTCAAATTCACAGATTTTATCATAAAGCATTTTCAAACACTGCTCATGTACATGTGTGTTATAATATTTTCATGTTGTCATCAGAAATGATTGGTAGCTATGACAAATTATTTAACACAAGTGAACGGTTGAGAATTTTCTACATGAGAGAGATTTTCATCTCCAAAATAGCAGCAACTTTTCAGTAAGGTCGTAATGTATTATTGGGTTGAAGGGGGTTACTCGGTGGTTGCCATACCGGGGATCGTGACGTAACAGGAGAGCATCGCAAAAGCTGATGAAATTTTCGCTCCATGTGTTAATCCGCATGTACAAATAGGACCGTCAATCAAGCCCTTTTCACTATTCAGAAAGCTACATTCCAATAATGGCTTCGCTTAGTGGATCTGACCATATCTGCTTCCAGAAATACATTATAATTGTGTTATATTCCAACACCTTAATATATACACTGTTTCGTCTGTCAAAGTTTTCTAAGAGACCAGAACACGGCTACCTGCATGCTCTTATACAACTCCCGAAACATTCCGGGCGTCACCTGGACTGCCCTCAGAACACGTATATAATATTTACAAACATGCACACATTATACAACACATATGTATATAATGGAAGTTTACTAGACTGTCCATTAGGGCTGTCACAATATATCGGAAAACAGGTATATCGCAATACACGGGCATATCGTATCGTACCACAATACAGAAATGAAATATTGCCGTATCGCAATATTCTCAAAAGCATATATTTTTATGTACCTGCTTAGTGTTTTAACTTTGCAAATTATAATAAAATTGAGCACATCCCTCATATGACAATATCGGGATACGTATCGCAATATATTCATTCTGTATTGCAATATATCGTGATAAACTCTTAGCGTATTGTGACACCCATACTGTCCATATAAATGTTCCTTGCGTTTACACCACGATAACTCTGCTGCTATGTCAGGAGGAGTATATTTTATCATTATAAAGGCATAAACCTGTCGGAGTCAGTTATGATTTTTTGTTGTACACCTAGGTACCATTTGTTAGCCTTATTTCTCCCTAGCTAGGCACCTTTGGTTAGCCCGTTGCCAGAACAAAAAGTGTGACCGGGTGGCGAGTTGGATCTCACTTACCGTGTCCAGGTGATGACAATCCAATGACTTTCTTAAGTTGCCCATTATCAGTTGAATAAAACATAAAGCTACCTCCTCAGTAAGGTCATAGGAACAATTATAACGTCAGCCTGTGTCATGAGTACATGTTTTGATCATAGAAGGTTTGCTATACTCGTTTAAAATGACCAAATACATGAATGTACATTTAACTGTATGGAGACAAAAATGTGGGCATGATATCGAGAGTTTTCTATACATGGACAAATGAGGGATATGCTATTGAAATTTTATCATACTTAGACAAACAAGGGAAATCATGTCAAAGTTTTGCTTTACTCAGACAAACGACAGACATAATGTCGAAGTTTTACTTTACTTAGACAAACGACAGACCTAATGTCGAAGTTTTACTATACTCAGAAAAACGACAGACATAATATAGAAGTTTTACTATACTCAGACAAACGTCAGACATCATGTCGAAGTTTTACTTTACTTAGACAAACGACAGACATAATATAGAAGTTTTACTATACTCAGTCAAACGTCAGACATCATGTCGAAGTTTTACTTTACTTAGACAAACGACAGACCTAATGTCGAAGCTTTACTATACTCAGAAAAACGACAGACATAATATAGAAGTTTTACTATACTCAGACAAACGACAGACATCATGTCAAAGTTGTACCATACTCAGACAAACGACAGACATAATGTCGAAGTTTTACTCTACTTAGTCAAACGACAGACATAATGTCGAAGTTTTTCTTTACTTAGACAAACGACAGACATAATGTAGAAGTTTTACTATACTCAGACAAACCACAGACATAATGCCGAAGTTGTACTATACTCAGACAAACGACAGACCTAATATAGAAGTTTTACTATACTCAGACAACCGACCGACATAATATAGAAGTTTTACTATACTCAGACAAGCGACAGACATCATGTCGAAGTTTTACTTTACTTAGACAAACGACAGACATAATATAGAAGTTTTACTTTACTCAGACAAACGACAGACATCATGTCAAAGTTGTACCATGCTCAGACAAACGACAGACATAATGTCGAAGTTTTACTCTACTTAGACAAACGACAGACATAATGTCGAAGTTTTACTATACTCAGACAAACGACAGACATAATATAGAAGTTTTACTATACTCAGACAAACGACAGACATAATGTCGAAGTTTTACTATACTCAGACAAACGACAGACATAATGTCGAAGTTTTACTATACTCAGACAAACGACAGACATAATATAGAAGTTTTACTATACTCAGACAAGCGACAGACATCATGTCGAAGTTTTACTATACTCAGACAAACGACAGACATAATGTCGAAGTTTTACTTTACTTAGACAAACGACAGACATAATATAGAAGTTTTACTATACTCAGACAAACGACAGACATCATGTCAAAGTTGTACTATACTCAGACAAACGACAGACATAATGTCGAAGTTTTTCTTTACTTAGACAAACGACAGACATAATGTCGAAGTTTTACTTTACTAAGACAAACGGCAGACATAATGTCGAAGTTTAACTTTACTTAGACAAACGACAGACATAATGTCGAAGTTTTACTATACTCAGACAAACGACAGACATCATGTCGAAGTTTTACTATACTTAGACAAACGACAGACATAATATAGAAGTTTTACTATACTCAGGCAAACGGCAGACATCATATCGAGGTTTTACTATACTCAAACAAACGACAGACATCATGTCGAAGTTTTACTATACAGTGACAAACGAGGAACATTAAATCGATATTTTCTACACTGTGACAAAAAGGGACATTGTATAGATTTTTTTTCTATAAAAATGACAAACTAATGACATTATATCGACGTTTTACTTTACAGTGGCAAACGAAGGACATTATA